GTGATGCTTGTTTACAGATGACACGTTTGTCGGCATCGTACTTCACGGTATTATCCTCGACGTTGTAAGCGAGGTGTCGGATACGCGGAGCCAACAGAGTTGAATAAATATAATAAAATATAATAAATCAATTTCTTTGGTCGACTCGATGGTAACCGATCATCGAACCTTTCGAAAAGCTTCAGGGTATCGATCACAGCCAATCTTTTCGTTGAACGCGTCTCACGCTTGTTTCGCGAAACCTTTTAATTCCCGAATTCGTTTAGATTTTCAACGTTACGCGACTTTCCCAAAGAACTTTCGTATTTTCTAGTACAACAGGCCGACCAAAAGCGTATCATCTTTCAAGCGCGAGAAGCGTTACACCGTTACGAACGATATTGGCCAGAAGGATCGAGACGACGTTAAACGTTGCAACTACCTTATCCAATTTGTCTGGCAGAAAGCGATTTTCCAAACAGTCGACGAACGCTTTCATAAATAGTTGCGTTACCTCCAACTTTTCTGTAGCCAGAAAATCAACCTACGTGGTTGCAGCTAAACGATTCTGCCGATCGAACAGTACCATTGCACGAACGCCATATAAAAGGACTAAAGAAAAATTCTTCTTTTCTGCGGTGCACAGGATAAGAATCTTACGTTCGAATAAAAATGATAGAATTAACATTGTATAAAAAAACGGAGGAAACTTGACACACGGACAGTGCAGAGGGAGGATTTAACGCGTCGAATGCCACGCGATTTCACACAGCAAAATAGAAAACGGGAACGGGAACGGGAACGGAACAGAGGTGATACTCGATGATTTTAATATAGAAATCTTTTCAAACGGTGCTCCTTTATTCGAGTCAATTATAGTAATTCGTTTCGATTCGACATGGCATGCAACGCGTTACTTTACATTGGAATAGGATAGAATCTATGATTCTACAATATCATCTCGAGGAGCACGACAACAAAGAATTTACCTCTGGGATAGAAATGCTAACGATACTGCCGAGTATAAATATCTGCAGACCGATTCGGACAGACCTCCGCTGATCGGGCCACAGGCCCATGACTTTCAGATAAAACCTGGTCGTCGAGCAGCCGGGATGATCGAAGAAATCCATCACCGCTGGTCTGTCCACCGCGATTATCCCTGGGTAAACGTCTGGATCAGTCGCAGCCACGCGCAGAGAAATCGCCTGGACGATACGTACGTTGTCCGAGATGTACGTTGAAATTACACGCAAGCACGCGTAACGTCTCGGTCGAAGGAACGCCACCGGAGCAAGAAAATTGTGCTGTCAATCAAAGGTGAATCACAGAAAATTACACAGCCTGTGAATTATGGGACAACCGCGATCGATCAAATCACCGCCACCCTCGCCACCCTCGTCATTTTTCCATCATTCTTCCGTCGTTATTCCGTCGTTATTCCGTCGATATTCTCGTAATTCCGTCCCGCCAGGCTAGCTCGAGAGGAGAAATCGTTCTTTCTCCTTAGCGCACACATGTTTTCGTCGCGTCATGATAATAATACGAATAACAGGAGGAATAGAAAGAGTAGGAATGAAATAGGAATAACCATTAGAAATCGTTCCGTTTACACAGCGAGGCGATGCCCTCGACTCGATTTCCTTTCAAAACGAATTCGCCGATCGATCAGGTAGTCTCATAATTAATCTCGTCTTTCTTCCGCTAATCTTCCCTGTGAGAACAGTGTGAACGCTCGGGTTCTGTTTTTAGTGGTGAATGTCCGTGATGCGCGACAACTTTTCTTACGCTTCTTCCGGGACGACTCGACACCGGGCTGGAACTTTGTTCCTGAATTCGAACGGAATTGCGAAGGAAAACTTTGCAGTATTCTCCATTAGTATAGTAACGCGTAGAATACCACTCGAAATACAACAAAGTCTTCTCCAAGTTGCACAGTTTTCCAGAGGAAACTAAACGCGTAAACGTGCAAACGAATACAAGCCTGTATCGTAACGCGTTTCGCCTCTATTACGAGCCTTCTCGTAATGGTGAACAGTACCATGCCGCACGCTTTTATACCAACTCTTTCAAATACGCGACACGTTCCCCCTTTGTTCTCGAAGAGGGCACACACGTTCAACTTGACAATTTCGAACGATCGATTTGTTTAGGTGACCAGAGCGGTGGAATACCTCGAAGAGAGACGTTATAACAAATTTATCCAGTGTTTGCCAGCGTTTCTCGTGATGGCCATTTCCTGTACGAAATATATACATATTATGATGAACTCGGGAAAGGTTCGAAACACACAGAGGATACGCGATTAGCCGAATAATGCATAGCTTCGCGATAAACGGTAAGCGAGCATACCTGTGCGCGAGTGTGCGAGTGTGTGTGTGTGTGTGTGTGTTACAGGTGAAGGAGCTACTCGCAATAATACAGAGCGATACGGAGCGATGCATGAAGCTGCCGGAGAAGCGGATTTACCACGCCTCCGTCGTCACTGGAAAATTCTACGTCACCAGTAGTCAGGGTAAATGAATTACAGCTAGTTGTACAGTATATACTGTATATGGAAAAGTTACTCTCTATTTCGTTTCAGTGCAAACCTGGCTGGCATTAATAGTGTACTTGATGATCCCGATCGTACCGATGATACAACGGGCCAGGAACCACGGCAACATTACCGAGCCACCAGAATTTTTGTACGAAGTAGACTACAAGGTCGACCACGAGAAATACTTCTACCTCATCACCGCGCACACTTACCATGCATCCCTGGTAACGATAGGAATGGTCATAGCGCTCGACATCTTCTACATAGTCGCTATTCATCATTGCTGCACTCTGTTCGAGGTGACAGGGTATGCTATTCGACGTTGACGGTTACTTATCGTCCAAACCAATCAAACGTTTCTCCTCGATGGACTTTTCTCTCGACAGATTCAAGCTAAAGACAGCTTACATTTTGGACAAGAGTATATTGAAGAACGGTGACGAGTGGAAAACCGTGACAGTCGAGAAATTCTCACCGGAAGAGGAAGCGCAAGTATTTCGGAATGTCTCGCACTCTATCGTCGAACATAACAGAGCGCTCGAGTGAGTGCAACTAATCTATTCTACTATATATTCTACTCGTAATGTCGTCGCTGGCCAACTTGTCTGTCGCGTGCCGGATATATCTCTAACGATGCTTCGCGATGCTTCAGGTTCCTGAATACTCTCCAATCGATGTTCTCCGTGGAACTGTTTTCGGAAATTTCTTTGCACATCTTATGCCTGAGCGCGTGTGCAGTGGAAGTACGTGGTTAAGGTATATCGAGCACGCGGACGTTGCGCTTGCACAAATTTTCCCCCGATCGTTCATCTCTTTCACAGATACTGATCAAGCGAGACAACCTCGACGTGGCGTTCAGGATGTTGGTTTGGCTGGTAGCTGTGGAACTTCACTTGTTCCAAGTTTGTATTGCTGGCCAGAGACTTTCAAACTACAGCGAGAACGTCTACTATGACGCGTAAATACCGCAAATTACTCCTCCGCGAAGAGCGTAACGCGAGTCTAACCCTTCCGACGATTACCATTGCAGGCTAGAATGTATGTGGTGCTTCTTTGATTCAAAGACCAAGGTCATTTATCGATTCTTCATTTTAAACACCCTGATGCCTTGCCAATTGGTTGCCTTCAAGCTGACAGTGGTCAACATGGAAACGTTTTTAGCAGTTCGTATTACAATTGCGTGCGTGCGTGCGTGCGTGCGTATTACATATTGAAACCTTTCCACAGGTCTCGCGTCTGGCCGCATCGTATTTCACGGTTCTGTCGTCTATGATATAAGTAAACGCCCTCGAGAGAGTCTCGCATAGTCAACTGACACGATGCAATGGTGATATACTTGATATTATTTGTTCGTGTAACTTACGGTGTACAGTGTGTGCGCGCGTGGCCTGCGACTTTTCATTTACACCAACTTTATTATCCTTACGTACATTTTACTTGGGTAAATTCTTTACGAATAGAATGTTTGCATGGAGGTGGATAAATATATTCGATATTTACATCACGAGGAAATAAACAGCAATACAAAACCGTAAACATTTACACATAACATTATGTGATTCGTCATGTAATTATGAAAAGGTGTTTTCGTTCCGTGCGTAACGTTAATGTAATCTGGATTCTCGTCCCTACACTTCACTCTTGATACAACCATTTTCTCCATCATCGAAAGCCACGATTCTTTCTAACCATGGATTTTCAACTTGCATCTCAAGGAAGGAAATTTTCATTCACGGTTACCGTGAATGTCACGCTCATGCTCGAAGCGAAACAAACTGATGGAATACGTCCAAAATATGAGGGTCCAGATCCGGCGTAAACAACAGGGTTTCTAATGTCGATGAATACTTTTGAACCTGTTCGTGATGCTGTAACACGAAATGGCAAATGTAAAGAAATCCAACGATTTTAAAGATTTTAAAGATTTTAAAGATTTTAAAGATTTTAAAGATTTTAAAGATTTTAAAGATTTTAAAGATTTTAAAGATTTATTTCGAATATTTCGAATATTTCCCAAAAATTACTCGAAATGATTACTTACCGTTAGGAACACCTGCTGTAATCTCCCTATGGTCCACTTGTACCAATGAGTATTATAGTCTATGCCGTCGGTATCGCAACGTACCAAGTGCTCGGACAAAATCATTATGAACCGCTGGAAAACAAGCGCGTCGTTAACTCGAGGAAATTTCAACATTTTCGTCAAACTAGTTGATCAATGTTCACCTGAAAAATGATTAAAAACAGATTTTTCTGATCAGCCTGTGCTGCCTCCAGTTTCTCTTCCATTCTTTCCACAACGTCCTCCGACGGTTTCTCCTTGTTCCTGTCTTTATTATTATCCTCATCCTCCGACGATGATCCAGATCTACTTTCCGCTCTTCTCAATTTCTCTCGTGCTTCGGCCAATTCCGTGCTCAACTTGGTCACGTGCTTGTTCTTCTTTCGGATCGTTAAATGAAGTATCTCCCAAATGTATAGCCTGCCGAATTACAGTTGCACGCAATTACTCGAATATTATTGCCAGAGCGGATGATTCGTAACGTACTTGGTAAACTCCGATGCCATCTCTTTGGAAAATATCCAGTTCGCGATGGCGCTGCACTCGATGATGCCCGTCTTTAATAACTTGTCCGTTAAAACGACCATCATTTGGTAATGATTCTTCCACAACGAGTACATATTTCTTAAAATGCATATCTGCGCTTCCTCTGTTTCCGCGAGAACCTGAAATGTTGTAGACGCGCAACATTTACTCCCAAGTATTCGAACGGGGTGAGGCTACTTGAAAGTTTACCTTAAAAACGTAATAAAATTTCCCTATAGCTGCGAAACTATGGCTAAAACTCTTCGATCCTAGGTTTAATAAAGTCTGTACAAAAACATCAATTTTCAAAGGATTGAAATTATTTGTCTCTTCATTTTCCCTGGGACCGGGCAATGTGTTCAACACGTTCAACACTTCTTCCGGTGTACACTTACGTCTAATAGAAACAACTAGTTCATGAGCAGCGGCTGTACCGGGAAGGGAACCTGTGAAACAAACATCGATGTATGCGACAATGTGCTGTCGACGGATCACGATATTCAGATCCAGCCAACATCGCGCAGATTTCATTCTACTCACTAGCCCCTTCGGAAGTGTACTTGTAAATAGGCTCCGGTGGTGCTGGAATCAAGTCAGCGTACGATTCCGGCATCATGTCTCGTATTCTCTGATAATACGATAATCTAAATAGATATTGGAAAATTATTATTCGACTCGCAGCGGGACTTGTTGTTAATTTCTCTGACGAGTGTTCTTGTACCGTAAAGCTTTAAGAAGTACTTCGCGAATGAACTTTGGACGCGGGTGTTCCGGATCGCGTTGCAAACACGAATCCCAGTCCTCCCAAGACCAACGGAATTGAAAGTTACTTAAATGATACGCGAACCACCAAACAAACCGATCGAACGCAGTAGCAGCCATGCTGTCTATGCGACGGAATAATATCTCCGTTGCTTGCGCTAAAACCTACAAGAACATGTAAAGGTATTCAGATATTCGGACAGAACAAGTAATCCTACCGGGTTCCAACGTTCCGAAGGAAACAAGAAAAATCTTACTTGCGGCATAGTTGACGGTTGTAGCTTGCAAAGTTCAATCAAGATTGATCCGTAACAAATCTCCAGATGCTTCGGTGACGGCAATCTGAATAATTCACCAAATATTACCTCCACGATGCAATAATCCAATGGTATTTTTGCTTTGTACGGAAAGTTCAACAGCTGTGCCGCGCTATAATACGATTCAATCAGATAGAAATAGAAATTCTTCGTCTGCCGAATAAAATGGTACATAGAGGTCTGCTGCTCACCAATCTTTTCTTTCGTAAAAGTAATTATTAATTATTTGCCTCAAGTGCTCCTCTATCAGGAATCTTTCGATAGCATGACTCCCGGGCAATAGAGGACCTTCGGCGGGGCAATCTGTATAATCAAACATCCGAAAAACAACTGTAGGTAGGGGGTAGCAATACGATTCGTGATGAGGCGGCGGCATTATAGTTGGTAAATTATGTTGCAATGCTTCGCACAATATTGAATCGAACGCTAAATACGGTCTAGGAATATGTTTCTCTGCCCAATTGTCTTGCCTAAGTTTCCGCACTTGGGCCCATAAGCAATCTAAATATTCTTCTTGAGGATGAGGTGTATCGCTCGACCAAACCCTTAAAGTCGGCTGATGCTTCTTACTTCGTTTATTCAGAAATATTTCTATCGTCACCATCAAGTGATCCAATTCTTGCTCTTTCTTCTCGTATATTTCTCGTCCGACCCAAGGTAAGGTCGATAGTACAGCGTACACGTACCTATGAAATTTCAATTACATTATTATTCCATTACAATTTCGTTCGTCTTTATTTTAACCGATTATTTTCTTCTACGTACCAATCGCGTCTCACTTGAGGCACTCCGTCTTCGTTGGCAGCATCCAACATGTTATCGAACAACTGCATTAAAGATCCACAAGATAAAACATGGCAGTTTACTAAATCGGCCAAAAATCTTAGCGAGTACCTAGCAACGTCCCATTTACAAGCCTTTAACGCATCTTTAAAATTTTTCACCATATAATCAACAAATTCGCCGCCAAAGTTAAAGTTTTTCGCATTTAATAAACCAACAAGAGTAGTGTAGATTGTGCATTTCTCTGGCATTCGAATCGCACATTCTGTCAAAATTCTAAGTATTTTACTACGAAACAATCCTAGATCAGCTTCCAATACAGAAGCCAAACCTTCGAGATTACTTTCCAAAGACGACGTAGACTTCTCTCCAACCCTTAAAATAAGAGATTCCAGTCGATCCTCTATCTCTTGATTCTCGGACACTCTCCTGCGCTTTTTGTACGCACGTTCTAGAAAAATTTACATTATTACAAAAGGTACGAACAAATATAACGATGATTACAACTGTAATCCGAAATCTCGAATTTCTTGCGAATAAGCGCATCCTGCGACAAGCAAAAATGCTTCCCGATTCAAATTTCTACGATATTTCTGGAAATTCTATGGAAATACATGAAATGCGTGAATTTACCGTATCCATCGTCTTCCTCGTGAACTCTTCTACGGCTCATTTTTCGAACATCAAATATATACCAGTCACTCTTTGTGATAATTAGAACGTCTGTTGTAGCGTCACGCTTATACTTTCAGAGATTTATACATTGGAAGCCAACTAACTGTAAAGCATCGTAAACGAACCTAACCCTTTATACCTTCAACAGTAGTCACTTTACTGGTAAATCGTTGCGAAGGTAAGCGTTACACGACACAATATCAAGTATAAATTGATATAGATACACCGCGCGTATATTCCAGAGCAACCCGACAACGACGTTTCACCGAGTCGTTGCCAGATGGCAGTTGACAATGATAAATTCAAATATTACCGCTCGTACAGAATGCTATAATAAAGTACCTAGGCATGGTGTACCTAGTAGGCATGTGTACCGAGGTATGTACAGAAACTTTATCGATGAAAAATTCCTACTCGTCATACTTTAAGTAAATTTGAAAAAAATCAATTACGCGAGAGGGTCAACGATCATTCTCCACAATTATCTTTACTCGATTTTCATGAAGCGGAAGCCACGAAAGTTGATACCGTGCTACCACTCTATATATATTCCGATACTGTGACAAGTCGCAGTGACTCGCAAATAGACTTTACGGTTATTCTAACCTGAAACACCAGCGGTTACTTGGAAAGAGCGAAATTTTCGTGTTTTATCTGTCGTATGAAATATTTCGAACAAAATGCCGGAAAGTGTAAAACCGGAAACGAAACCAAGCAAAGAAGTTAAAGGTGGAAAGGAAGAAGAAAAGAATGAATTGGTAAGTTTTCGTTTCTACCCCATTACACATTATTACCAACGAATTTAACAGAGACCGTTTCGAACTACATTAATAGCAATCAATGATTTTCAATTGATTCCGTACATCTGCGTGTTCTAAATTCTGATAATAACGTAATATACGTTCTAGTCTGAAGAAGATAAACTGCTGCAAGAAGAACTTACTGGTCTCGTCGAACGTCTGCAAGATGCCAATACAAGATTACACTATCCCGCTTTAGAAGCTTTACAATCTCATATTCGTGTATCTACCACTTCGATGACCAGTGTTCCCAAGCCACTGAAATTCATGCGTCCTCATTACGATACCATGAAGGCTATTTATGAAAAAATAACCAACGTCGAGGCTAAGGAGTTATGCTCCGATATTATTTCTGTCCTTGCCATGACCACGAGCGAGGGTAGAGAATGTCTAAAGTATAGACTTACCGGATCTGCGATAGACATCGGAGAATGGGGACACGAGTACGTGAGACACTTGTCCGGAGAATTGGCCGGCGAATGGGACGAGCTTACAGACGACGCGGAAGCCACAAGCAAACAGTTGATTGCTTTAGTCCATGAAATTGTACCGTACAATATGGCTCACAATGCGGAAACCGAAGCATGCGACTTATTGATGGAAATTGAAAGACTGGACTTGTTGGAGCAATACGTGGACGAAAGTGCGTATCAACGAGTTTGTTTGTATCTAACGAGTTGCGTACCTTACGTAGCAGATCCGGAGAATAGTACGCTTCTTCACGCAGCAGCGAAACTATACAGAAAATTTGGTCAATACCCGCAAGCTGTGAGACTAGCTATGCAACTGAACGATCTACCGCTTATCGAAGATATATTCATTAAATGTACAGATCTGTGAGTCGAATCGTTAAGAAAATGAAGTTTGTCGACGGAAATGTTGAAAACGGTTTTAATTAATAGACGTACGTCTGTGAACTTTCTTTCAGATCGGTGCAGAAACAGTTGGCGTTCATGTTGGGCAGGCAACAGATTTTCTTGGAATTGCCCGAATCGACTCCGGAATATGAGGATCTGGTAGAAATAATGTCCAATTCGTTGCTAAATTATCACTTTCTGAATTTGGCGCGTGAATTGGACATAATGGAGCCTAAAACTGCAGAGGATGTATACAAGTCCCATTTAGAGAATTCCAGAGCTCCGTTTGGCGGTGGTCAAGTGGATTCGGCTAGACAAAATCTTGCAGCCAGTTTCGTCAATGGTTTCGTGAATGCGGCGTTCGGTCAGGACAAATTATTATACGAAGACGGAAACAAATGGTTATACAAGAATAAAGAGCACGGAATGTTGAGCGCAACCGCGTCTCTTGGTCTTATATTGCTGTGGGACGTCGACGGTGGCTTAACACCGATAGATAAATATCTCTATTCGTCCGAGGATTACATTAAATCCGGAGCATTGCTAGCTTGCGGTTTAGTCAATTGTCGCGTTCGAATCGAATGCGATCCTGCTTTGGCTCTTCTCTCGGATTACGTTCTGCACAGCAGCAATACAATGCGTATCGGTGCAATCGTAGGCCTCGGATTGGCGTACGCGGGTTCCAATCGCGAAGCAATCCTGGGTCTGTTGATCCCTGTGCTCCGCGACCTGAGGTCCAGCTCGGAAGTGATAGGGGTAGCGGGTCTCGCGTTAGGCATGGTTGCTGTCGGTTCTTGCAATGCTTACGTCACTACGGCAATTATGCACACTTTAATGGAAAAATCCGAGGCAGACCTCAGAGACACGTACGCACGGTTTTTGCCCCTGGGCCTTGGACTGTGTTTCTTGGGCAAACAAGAAGCAGCAGAGACCATAATAGCTGCCCTGGAAATAGTCCCGGAACCCTTTAAATCCATGTCCACGACTCTCGTGGAAGTGTGCGCGTACGCGGGCACCGGGAACGTTCTAAAGATTCAACATCTGTTGCATATCTGTTCCGAGCACTACGAGCCTTCGAGCGACAAGGACGAGAAGAGCGAGAGGAAGGACAAAGAGAAAAAGGACGACAAGAAGGAGGAGAAGGAGAAAGATCTGACTTCTAGGCAGGCGATCGCTGTACTCGGTATCGCTTTGATCGCCATGGGAGAAGAGATTGGCGCTGAAATGGCGTACAGAACATTCGGTCACTTGCTGCGTTACTGCGAGCCTGTGATTCGACGATCGGTTCCCCTCGCTCTCGGGCTGATATCGGTCTCTAATCCAAAGCTGAACATACTCGACACGTTGTCCAAGTTCTCCCACGACAGTGACCCCGAAGTGGCGCACAATGCGATCTTCGCGATGGGTCTGGTCGGGGCAGGAACGAATAACGCGAGACTGGCCGCAATGTTGAGACAGCTTGCCCAGTTTCATGCGAAAGATCCGAATAATCTGTTCATGGTGCGTATAGCGCAAGGTCTGACGCACCTCGGTAAAGGAACATTGACACTGTCTCCTTACCACAGCGATAGACAAGTGTTGAGTCCTGTAGCGTTGGCCGGTCTTCTAGCTACCCTCATTGGTTTTCTGGATGTAAAGAACAGTAAGTATACTATCGAGAATTCTTTCTTTCTTTCTTTCTTTCTTTTCTCTTCGCTAGAAACGTTTCTATAACTTTCCTCTGTACTCTCTTCTTCTTTGCAGTCATTCTTGGCCGCTCGCATTATTTGCTATACACGCTAGCAGTTGCGATGCAACCGAGAATGTTGGTGACATTCGACGAGAAATTAAATCCTCTTCCTGTACCCGTGAGAGTTGGTCTCGCCGTGGACGTGGTAGGTCAAGCGGGAAAACCAAAAACTATTACCGGTTTTCAAACGCATACCACGCCTGTTCTACTGGCGTATGGCGAGAGAGCGGAATTAGCCACGGAAGAGTACACGCCTCTAACACCGATCATGGAAGGTTTCGTAATGTTACGGAAAAACCCGGACTTCATCCCTTAACTAAAACGATATAATACTTGAGTGAAAGAAAACCTACATCGGACACTATACATCGGTCTGTTTAGCATTAAATGTAATGAATGTTACTGCGTGTGTATACAGATGATCTCCCGATAAATAGCAGAACCCCACGTAGAAACCGAAATTCATTTATTTTCTTTTTGACCAAAAGCTAGAAACAGTAATATTAATAAACACCCAGACTCGATCATCTTTCCTTTTTGTATTTTATTTATGATAATAATAAAATTACAACTTTTTAACGGCAGTTATATTTTAATGTTCAAAATACTGATATACAACGTGTGTAAATTGTTCAAAAAGTAGTTTGTCTCGCATTTACAAGTTGGGCAAATTTCCATTTCTCAGTTGACAACAAATGGATAAAACGTTGGCAAGATACGATTATATTAATATAGTCGGTTAAATGAGCGTATACAACGCAAAACTAAGTAATAAGTTTAGCTGCAGAGAAACGTTCGTATTCTTCGATGCGTACAAAAATATACACTTTTCTAAGGAGAAAGAAAAAAGAGAAACAAGGAGAAAGAATGTGATGTATAAAAATGTAAATAGCTTCATATTAATAACTACGGAATTTTATATCAATCAATAAATTCTCTGATATCAAATTTAATGCTAAGTACCTTATACGATATATAAATAATCAATTTGCGATGTTTGTATTCTTGTCGAAAACTTTCAAGATACACTAAAAGGCAAACTGTGAAGCTTACTATTCGCTTTAATTTCGAACAATTTCGTCCAGCGTGAAAGAATAAGTGCCACAACTTTCCTATCGTACACGATATAACATATGAATACAGATCGAGAGGCATTCTCAATTGCACAGTTTGCTTTTTCTTTGTATAAAATAATCGTATATGTATGTATATATATATATATATATATATATATATATATATATATATATATATCACATTCGAGCACATTTACAGTGATATGTAACATGACAAACAATTGTGACCTTAAAATTTAATGAAATAATGGCTAGCGTTTTTTATGATACTAATTATAAAGATGCTATAAAACATATAAAATCAAATACATTAACATTTGATCAATTATGGGCCTAGTTTCCATATCGGCTTCATAATTCAATAACAAACATATCGAATTTCTATGCCTCTTTTAATAATACAAATTCCGTTAAAAGAAAAACTTGTATATCGTCATGAATACTTGCAGTAGTTTAAGTAACATTCGAGTCAGTAAAATACTATTATACAGGTATTTAAATGCAACCTTAAACAGTTACTACTCTACTCTAATAATTGTCCTCCCGTTTGCTTGCTACTGTATATTATAAAAAAAAACATGAAACATTTATGAACAACATTATAAAACTGATAAACTCTTTTGCCAATTAACACGTTCGCAACATTTCAATGTTACAGCATTCGTGTCATGTTGCGCCGCAGTGAAAATGAACAATGAAAATGAATGTGCTGTAGCATTCGCGTCCGCGAACGTGTCAAGAAAACTGTTCCTTACATTATGCCCTGTAGAGTGTAGTGCGTGCAAACCTAAATATTCGTTCGTTCGTAAGGGAACAATAGTTTCTGTATAAAATTCTCCTTGTACGACAATTACTTTCCGATGTTGGCAATTTCTGGTGTTAGCAATAATTTGCTTCCATGTTGCAATGGACGGTAACCGGAGCTAAAACATGGTGCGGTGAGCCCAAGTGAGTTGTCGGAGACGGAAGGCAAACGGATTTTCTTCTCAGGTCAGGTTCGGTATTATTACCGACTACTAGCAATGGCTCGGCGAACGTTTGCTGTTCAGAATCATCGTGTGGCGTCATTGTACTGTATCCGTGATCACTGTCACCGCCGGGTGGTTTCCTGTAGTTGGTCGAGACTCTGTACGGCGATATGGGAGCTATGCCGTCCCTTATCAGAGAGTCTAAATTATTTTTCGTTTGGTCCAAATCTATGGGTTCCGCGTCGCCTTCGAGATGCGTCATGCGCAACGTATCCGGCGACGTGTGTACGTGCAAACACTGATGCTCTAATCCCGATTGTACCGAACGAAGCCTATAACAAAACAGCATCACTCCCAATATTAAAAGAAACGCGAGTATTCCTCCAGCCACCGAACCAACCGACGGCCATTCTCGCATTGCAATTTCTTCGGTCGACTGAGAATCTAAAAGAAAACGAAACAAAACGAAACAAAACGAAACAGAACGAAACGAAACGATTGTTCGTTGTATCTTCTATGAACTACATAGTAACTTGAAAGACTGTTTCTCACTGTATGTTCCATCGTTGAGAGGTATGGAAGATCCGAGAACTCCCCTGAAGCACCTGGACATATCGCTACAGAAAGCAACTTGCAGAGGCGTTTCTCCGTCGTTATCTACGTGGCACCATTGACAACCCACAATACCTAAACACTCGTTTTCCGTCTTGAATAACTTGCAATCGATGGAGGGACACGTTTTCAAATTTACAGACTGCGTGTAAGACACCTGCGAAGCACTTCCTTGTTCGTGCGATATCGAACAGGGCTCCAGATCATGTAAATTGTACGTTGTATAGTCGGCACAGTTGGAAAAATATAAAGCGCATTCGCACGGACATTCGCATTCGGTTTGCTCCATCCGTTCGCAATTCAAACAGGAACGATCCGTCTGTACACAACATTCGACATATACATATTATATATTATATATTATATATTATATATTATATATTATATATTATATATTATATATTATATATTATATATTATATATTATATATTATATATTATATATTATATATTATATATTATAATGTACGGATAGATTGTGTACATATAATTATAATAGCTCAGAGTATCGACGATTCTACTTACTATACTGCACGGACAGAAAGACCTTAATAAATTGCAAGTCACATTGACTACGCCCAAAAATACATTGGTCCCAGGTACAGCTGCTACTTGGTACTTGACGCAATGTTCACCGTGAACTATGTTCGTGAGAACTTCGTTCAGGGATGTATTAAATTGATAGTACCTTTGCACGGTACCGTTCAAATAATTTGCGCACCCTTTCTTTTTCACGAAGAGTTCGTGATTCAATATATCGTTCGCAACTAACAACTCTTTATGGGTTAAATGTTGCTGCTCGACTTTCCCGAATGGCTCTAGTAACGCAGGATGCGACACCAAGTATCCTTTGTCATCCATCAAGAAACATTTTACCGTGGATTCATTGCAGAAGGGAAACATTTCTTTCAAAAGCCTAGAAATGAATCCCATTGTAACGTCCATGGATACAACCGCTACAGCATCGTCGTAAGCGGCTGTTTTCGAATTACGATGAACAGTATGGCTCAGTGTAACGACGTATCCTGATCCACCGGCACCCAAATACGGCGGTGCAAAGATTAATTTTCTAGGATGTTCCAAGGCATTCGTATACCACATTCGTCTTTTAGGATCATATCCGGAGTCCAACATGATTCCTGGATATACTTCCAAGACACCACTCATCGTTCCAATGATATACCTAAAATCATTTTTATTTGTATTTCACATTTTCCTCTATTAGATCATCTTACGTTTCAATAATATTCTGTAATTTTAAATTACCTCCTTATTATAAATTTATTTAATGGACTTTCCATGTGTCTGCCCTTAAAGTACTCTAAAATTTGAGTCAATATAGCCACATCTGACTTAACGGAATGATGCAGACCAGGATTCGCCAACACTCCTGTTAAATCTTTCAAGTAGGCCATATAACTTTGCATGGTTACAGCAGATCCCCCATCCAATAATTTAAGCTGTTCCATTGGAGACTGCAAACACCACGGAGATAGATAAACCACACCCGTTGCTAGAAAACAAATTCTCTTTCCCTTAATATTTCCATACGTTTCCATACTTTTTCCATTCTATTATAGTTAATTATAGAAGGCTTAACTTACATAAAGTTACGAGCTTATTATTATAAATGCACAGAATGCCTTTATCGGAGAGGCTATGCATTAGTAGATCAAGACGATGATGTAAAACGTTTGTTGATAACATTGGTATCAATTTTGCTGCAAATACTGTACTTTCGTTACTCGCCGATACCAAACATACAATTAAATTTTTGTATGTCAAATGTTTCCATCTGTACCATTTCTAAATTTAAAAATCTAAATTAATACGAGTTTCGCTTCAACGGATTTCTAAATATTAAGCTACCTGTTCTCCTAGCCTTGTTTTCACATTTACAACACCTTCGTTTTGTTCGATCATCATTGTCACAGTCTCGGAATGAATATTTTCTATGTGCTGTAACTTGACTTTCAAAGGCTGTTCCATTATTGTTTCCATTCTAGGAAAGTCTTTGTGAATCCAAACTATACCTTTATCGTCGAATAGTATAGGATATACATTTGAACCAGCATTAAAGTATGTGATATCGTCGATGAAATTCTGCAATTGAATATCTAATGATATCAATGCTTTCTCCGTAATTTGACCTACAGACAATGTCATTGTTTTACTATATATGTCAAAGTATGGATCGGATAAGTAATAATCTTTCTTGTGCTCTTCAGAACACTTTAGATTAGAAAATAGTTTTGATATTTCGTATGCTAATATATTTTGGGTTGGCAGAACTACTATGCTATCGTTGTGTTCCTTCAGGTTTACATGGGGTTCTTGATCTGTGAAAGGAAATAAAATATTAATAATGCGCATTATTCAAATGTTATATCCGATCGCACGATATTGTAATAAGGATGGCTCACCCGACAGGATCAAGATTGTTTTTAAATAACCGTTCACTTTCCCCGTAGCGATCATATTATTTATTTTTGTTATATGCGAAGTAGTTTTAAGCGTATTCGTTAGATGTATAAAGACAACTTCGCCTTTTACATTTTCCACTAGTTTGTGGAAATTGAATTCGATCGTCTCATTGGTCTCTAAGATTTACAGAAAAGGTATCGTTGGTCTATTATAGGAAAAAAGATGTTTATACAATTCAAATTATTTAATTATGTAAAAGAATCGTACCTGTCCTTGTTAAACTGTGGATATAACGTGCCAATTGAAATTTATTAATATCTGTTGCTTTTAATAAACCATCTTTACAGTATATAGAATTATTGCTAGAAAGCCCTATGACATTAATATAATCCATCTGCGACAATACGTCGATTATTCTTTCTGCTGTTATTTGAGCCAAAGTAATGTCCCCTTCGGACATAAACATTCCGTGCTCGAACAACAGAAGTACATTCTTTTTTGGGCAATACTGAGACAATAAAAGTGGCCCGATGTTATGATCGGAACTAAATGGACCGCATACGGTCGCAGGATATACGAAGGGCAGCACATGAATATTTTTAAATTCTTGATTTCTCAGTACAATTCCAAGCACTAGAATACAAACAAGAGCATGATACAGAATATTTATTAGAACACTCTCCAAACGTATACGCATGATAAAAAGAATCTAGCATCTACGTCGAATCGACATAAATATGGTCAAACGACGAGTCTAAGACTTGGCAGAGATTTCAATGAAATAGAAAAGTAGAACAATGGAAGACAGGGACACCCTTGTCTCTGCTTCGAACTGTGGGACACTACTATAACATTACAGTCCAATAGTCTTTACCTTGTGTTATCTGTGAACAAAAATCGGACAGTTTACCGGACATTGTGTCCAGTCCCCCGATACCAGAATAAGCGAACTGAGCTTCATTCTTTGCTAAAATCGACTTTACAACGTTGTAACTCTGCCTGAGAAGCTCCACATAAGACAGTAGCTTGTTGTTCAGTTTATCCACTAACAAAATCAACCTGGTGTTCAGACTGCCGGTGATGTTGGTGAATTCCATTGCATCAAGTATCTGCTGAAAGGATGTCAAACCGAGTTCCGCGTCTGTGATTGAGCGAAACTCGTTTGACAGCCGAATCACGATGTCTCTTAAGCATGTCCCGTTCAGTGGTTCCGCGTTCACTTGTTTCCGCGAACTTTTGCCAAACTGACAATTCACGTCACCGGGCAAATTATTCTCGGCTGAACTAGGCAGATTCGCTAGCACCGTCACGATTAGTCCTAAATATACAATCCTCCCGACAATCATTCCGTTTTCAAACTTGACGCCTATTCTGTATTGTAACCTTAACAGTTCGTTATGGCGCCATAACGACGCAACCACCGCAAACAAGGTCGACAAGTGGAGACCGGGAATAGTAGGACAAAGTACTCTTATTACTTTCTAATTGAAATGTAATCGATCCGTTTTCGCTATTCTAGGCGGATTTTGTGGTTTCGAAAGCCCACGGTTCCACGGTTCTCTAATATATCCCTCCTGTACATGAAATTGAATCTTCGCTGCTCGTACCAAATGATAATTGCAAATGCTATTCAAGGAAATGCGTTCACCCAATAATCGTTGGAATGAACTTTTCTCAAGAGCTATAGAAATGATATTATACAACGACTGCAACGACTGGGATTACATCGTGGAACATTTAATTCCCGTTTACGTTAACGATTCAATTAAGAATTCGATAAATGTTTGTGGCCGATGAATATTCATGATAAATTATACATTTCTTCATAGAAGAAAGTGATCGTTCGATTTCCCTAGACTTTAATTACACGGCAATTTAACTAATGCGAACTGTCGATAAATACAATGTTTTGAAATTTCGTTTATTTGAATATTCAAATGATAGAAATTTCGATCGTATAGTTATCTCTGGTTAGCCGGCAGAGGGCGCTGAGAAACGAAATTTCACAGTAAGCGAATTTTACTTTTTAAAAACGAATCAAGTACTACAGTATTTTACTATTCTCGAAACCCGAGTAGCACCGTTACTCGCGCCATTTGAATATCGTTACAATTGTTTTTCAATTTAACGATGGAAATAATGGTCCTCGCTCCAACCGTCAACACAGCCAAGTTATAAGAAGCAGATCTTATTAATGTTCGTAACCCAAGTCGGACTATCTTACCGACCTGGACAATCAAATGCGGCAATCGTTGAAGATGTAATTATTCATGCTATGTAGTATAAAATATATTTAGTCGTACGTTTCGCACAGAGCATACACGGCACATGGTTTCTAGTAAATCTTTAAACTGGAAAATCAGACCAGAGGGCATAGACTCGAGTCTGCGATGCCAGTTGGCGTAACTCGAACGTTTCACCGTAGGTGGCGGTATGTACTTTGTTTACCATCGTTATGTATTATAAAATTAAGTATGAATTTAAAACGCGACAACTAACGCGATCACCAGCGTAGAACGTCGAATTAAAAGAGATTCGTGATTCTGGTTCGAGCGATTTAGGACGATTGAAGCGAATTTTTTCAGCGTAGTTTGTACGTCCGATTTCTCAAAATAGTTTGTATGCCATTAAATGTTACACCATAAGAGGCGAACAACTGCATTTTCACTTATGTTCAGTCCGATTGAAATTTTCTTTCTCTTGGCATGTTGAGAAGACTTGTACCAAATGCTCGTTCCAATTTCGAGAATTCAATATTACGAATTATTAGATGCCCACAGTCGTACGCGATTGTGAATTTGTGAAAAATTTTCCAGAATTACTCGTCGTTCGATAAAAACTTTGATCGTAATCGTTGCGATCGACTAAATATTTCACTGATACGATTGTTACTTCTCCCTTCGTAATTCACCGAGAAATTTGAAAACAAATGGAATTCGCTTGTACACGGAGGGCCAAGAGGATATTCGAAAAAGTAATAACCGAAGTAAAACCGTTAAATGCGTGCCGTATAATCTTCCCAAGCAACAGAGTACAACAGAGCCTGGGAAAATGGCTAATAAATTAGAAATGATCGAGTGTCCTTTGAGAAAGTGAAGACTGCCAATGGTGTTATTAACCTCACGGAAAAGGAAGGAAATATTTCAGAGAGCGCCACGTGCAAATTAATGAAACACGTCACCGTTACATTTAACGTATACAAGAAGAACACCCGAAATTCTTTTTCGAACGCGAAGTTTAAATGTTAACTATGTGAACATTCTTTCTTCGAACAAATCAAGAAGTTTCCATAATGATCGAAATCCTAACCTGACTTTCTCTATTTTGAACAAGTGGTAGGTAAGTAGATTCTCGACCGAAGCGTATTTACATTATGATTAAAAACTTTTTAAATCGTCCGTCTAATCGCATTAACTTTCATACGTTAATGTATTTAAAGAAAGAACATCTGTCAATTAAAATGGTATTTCAAGTCTCTCGAATAAATGTACTAATTTTATTAATTTTTAAATATATTTACATTGTCATTTTCATTCTATGTAATTTTATTCTTAACCGATGTATCAGATACGCGTTGTATTCCATTGTGATAGAAGAAAGGTCGCTAGAAAACCATTCTTTTCTATTATATAAGCCTAGATTTACGTACACCGTAATATAAAAAGCTCGTCCGGTATTCAGTTTGTATATCGTGTACAGTTTATAATGTAAATTCACTGTGGCCAACAGATTAGAAGACTAGAAGATAATAAACTATGTATTTTATTTATAGCACAGTGTGAAATATGATGTCCAATGGTATTCGGATTTCTACCAAGGAAATTGGAGGAAGATCAATGTCGCTTAATACAACGTGTTCACCCAAACCGTCATCGACACTGAACTCTCCATTGATGAAGTTATCTTCCTACTTTCTAGCTGTACGACCATGGTCGTTAAGCGCTTCGTTAATGCCAACGCTTCTTGGATCTGTGCTCGCGTATCGATTGATAGGGTTGACAAATTTTAGTTGGATATCTTTTGTTCTTACTTTGTATACAGTGTTTTGCGTACATGGAGCTGGTAATGTAGTGAATACTTTTTTCGATTACATAAAAGGGGTGGACAGTCGAAAAAGCGACGATAGAATATTAGTGGATCAAATTTTATCGAAAGATGAATTAGTTTCATTGGGTGCATTATTGTATGCAATAGGATGTTTGGGTTTCGTTTTATTAACTATTATATCACCTGCAAAAATGGAGCATCTAGCTCTTGTATACTTTGGTGGTTTATCTTTCTCATTTCTTTATACGGGAGGTATAGGATTCAAGTACATTGCGTTAGGCGATGTTCTCATCTTAGTTATATTTGGCCCAATTTCTGTTCTTTTCGCGTTCATGGCTCAGACTGGTTACTTCGAATTAGGGACAATATACTATGCTATACCTCTTGCATTAAACACAGAGGCCATTTTACATAGTAATAACACTCGAGATCTGGAGAGCGACAAAAAGGCAGGAATAGTAACACTAGCCATATTAATAGGTCACACTGTATCTCATGTTTTATATGCTTTTTTATTATTCACACCGTACGTAACTTTCGTGGTGCTTGCACTAAGATATTCGGTTTGGTTTCTTCTACCAGTCGTTACTCTACCAACTGCCTTTAAGATAGAAAAACAATTTCGAAGTCCTCACATGATTCAGAGTGTGCCTAAACAAACAGCTAAATTAAATATGTTTTTGGGCATTTTGTATGTTGTTGCATGTTTACTTGTGGATCCTCTTCCTTACGTGTAATATAAATATATCTTGTGTCAATGTTTGACAGAAAGTTTTTATAGTTCAATCAATTCTATAGGCAGCTGATAAACCAATCCACTGCATACTTTCAAATAAAATTCTCTTGCTATTAAATTGATTGTTACGGATCATCTAATATGCGACTGTGAGACTGTTCAAATTTACTTTTTATAATCTATAATTTATTTATCTGTCTGGTGTAAACATTGTTATTGTACATTACAGAATTTGTTTCTCATTTAGTGTATCATACAATCAAGTTTTCCTAATATAATACACATTTAGATACAACTTTTCAGCGACGCGATGATCCTTCATATGTACAAAGTGCCTGCATTATTTAGAATCTGAATTTGTACTTGTATTTCTTTGATATGTCTAATAAGCATAATATTTTTGCACCTAACATTAGGTGTAAACAAATGTGAATTTTAAACGTATACTTATTTAAATATGTTTACATATAATTTATCTCATTGTTTAGAATTTTAAGTAGCATTACTCATACGAAACTGTATGCATATCCTAAAATGTTTTGTAATTTTGAAAACATAATACAACTTGAACACTGAAGTTTTTACATTTTATAGATTGATAAATTTACAAAATAAGACAATAAGTTTCGATGCCGTACTATTAATCGTGCAGTGGAGTACTGCTTCGTCGTTCTATAATGCAGATGAGAAACGATGCTGTGACTGTTAGAAGAAGTTATTGATTTAGCTCTGTCTATAATAGTCAACTTGTACCATGTACCATGTTTTCTAAAAATACACTATGCAATTACATTAAAGGATAATTATACAAAAATAGTAAACAAGAGGTGATGAGAATCAATGTTCGTGTTTTATTTATTATGTATAAAAAGATGTATTTTATTTGTAAATGCAAAATCACTTGAATTAAAATATTCGTAACACGACAGAAGTAATCTATGTAAAATGTAATGTAATTATTTATGTTTAAATGCAGATACTTAATTAATATCGATCACTTTTATCGCAGACTTATAGAGTATTTAGTCTCGATAAAAAAACCAAGAATGGAAAAGGAGAAATAAGTTTTATAGTAATCATTTAATAAATGACTTTTCTATCAATGCAGATTTTCATTTTTTTTCTTTCTTTTATTTACCATATGACATATAATATTTTCATTGTTTAATATTTCAAAGCTAAATACGATCAACAAAGGGAAGTAAGTAGCTTACAACCTTATTGTAGAATGGTCAACGTGAAATTCGTCGATTCAAACTGCTATCGATAAATATTAGAAAGTCGATAGTTATCGATTCATTGAAAATTTCGATTCTCGAAGTTACAATTACTCTTTGTAAACGAAACATGTTTAAAAATTGGCGCCATCGTAAAATTGATCAAAGAGAACATTGAATGTGTATTTTGGTTAGATTTTGTAGTAATTGCAGTTACCGAATATTTACAGTCTAATAGTTTGGACAAAGTCCGAGGCATCAAAATGTACAGCAATTCTCGATTGATTGATCCAGTCGTAATATGTCCTTATAATAAGAATCATCTAATTGCAAAATCTCGCCTTCAGAAACACATTGTCAAATGCGAAAAGGTAAGTTTGCAAATCTATTTTCTTGAACGAATGTTCATGGCAATTAAATTATATATTTCATGCGTGTATAGTAGGTACATTTTTGATTAACTTACTCAATGATCGCACTGAGATATCCATCAGATGATAAAAAGAAAAAAGTTACAATTCAGTTTATAATTACAAGGATACAAATATTTGTGTAAATAAATTTAAAAGACATTTGGATTGTTGTAGCAATATCCTGAACATTATAAAATTATGTGTCCTTATAATGCAACTCATCGTTTGTTTAAAAGTGAATTGGAGGAACACATAATGACCTGTTCTGCTCGCAAAGTATTAGAATCTGAGATGTATTCAGGTTTCTGTTCACTTTTATTTTTCTTATATGTAGTTTCGCGTGTTCGATCAATTAACCAATTAACAGAATGAAATATTTCATTTTATAGAATTAAAGAAACATGGGTATACGCAATTTCCAATGCCATCGGAGATTTCAAGTACAGTAGATTGTACAGAAAATTGGGATCTGGATAGAGATAATGTAACAGACGATGAAAATAGTTTGAGTAATAATATTACTCCCTCGCAAGTGTAAGTAAACTTTAAGAATTTACCTTTTGTATTGTAAACTTGTTTTCTAAATGTACGTCTTGATTACTTCATTACATAATTTCAGTATAAACATAAACATTAGCGAACAAAAGGTTTTGCGAGCTCCTCGTGGTTTTTCCGAGGCTATGTTAAGAGAACCGGACGAAGAATCAGCAGTCGAAGACTTTGAGTCGGTAACAAGTTCAATGGGAATCGGAAGAGGCAAAATTATTAGAGAAAAACATTGGATGAAGTTTGTTGGATTGGGTAGAGGAAGTCCACTAAATACAGATTAGGTTCTATAGCAGACTATAATGATTATCTGATCAGTTCTTCACATGAACATAATAAGTAAAAAACGAAATATAAATCTGTTTATATTACTATAAAAATAGTAAAAGAACGAAATGTATAATTTCAATAGTACATATTTTATATCATTTACAAGTAGTACGAAGTTGATTATTACTATTATTACTATTATTACATGTATTAACGCTAGGTATTAGTTACTTAAGTTTATTTGATTGAAAAACATTCATTTTCGTACATCTTTTAATTTCCGTAATTTACATTAATCATAATATCTACAAACATGGTTTATTTAAGAACTAGCTTTCAAAAAGTTCATAGTTTCTTCGATAATACATTAAATGTTGTTAGTAATAGATATGAGAAAAAACTAAATAAAATTATTTACAAATGCGGGATACTGCAGTGACTGTTTTATTTTTTAATACTTAATCGTAATTTGTATTAGATGTTTCATAATTTATCACTTCCTGTGACAAAGAAACATTATTATTATTATTATATAACGAATTTTGCAGCCAAGTGTTTGATTTCTTTCTATAATTATAGCGCGTAAAATGAAAATACAACAGATACAGTCTATGGTTTCTATTGGCAAATAATTTAAATTCACGAATGACGCGAATTTAGAGATTTAAAATGAAAACGGATTTGTAGCAACGCGATACGATAATAATATTTAACGTTAATGAATGAAAAATTCGTTTCAATACCTCTCTGTTACTTTAACTTACAATCTTAATTTTACACTACTGATATTCATGCGCAATTCCTCATCATACAACGTGAAATATTTGTTTCTTTTCATATTTACAACTACAATGAAATACATTCTAATGTCTTAAAAGTTATAGTTGTAGTTGATGCTGTTTAATGACAAATCTATGGGATGACGATGCTTGAAAATTGAAGTTGAACATAAAATCATAATTTTGTAAATGCAATTTTACTGAAAAAAAGAGAAAAGAAGACAAAGAAAATAATAATAATAATAATAATAATAATAATAATAATAATAATAATAATGATGATGATGATAATAATAATAATAAAAGAACAAAAGCAGTTAAGATTTCGTTATAAAAACAATGCAAATTTAACGAATATAAATATGTTTGTGAAAATGTTTTTGTCAACGTTACATTCTTCGAATTCTCGGAATGTATACAATTGTTGTTTTACAAATAAAATATTTCCTTATAATTCGTGAAATAGCACGATCTTTGAAACAAACGGGCACCGAAATGAATAATATAAAAAAGAAACGTATCAGATCCACAAAGGAGTTATTAGAAAAGATCACTTTTACAGAACAAAAAATACTTCGTTAATGGATGGAACAGTTCCGAATGACATATTATTATATACATTGATGCATATGCGTATCTTTAATCATGAAATTTATTGAACGAATATGCATGATACATTTACCATGTACATGTTTAGAAATAAAAATTTGTGATTACTGCGAATTAACTTCCTTACTCCTCTAAGACTGATTTTATAGAAACCCGGCACGCAGAAATTTTGCATCAAACAATATTGCCTGTTGTGCTGGTATCGAGTTCCGAGCATGATCCGAGAGAAATGTTAATTAATTCCTAATTCTATGCTGATTAACTTAATGTCTTGTCAAAAATTGAACGCGGGATATGCTTTTTAATTTTGTCCTCTTTACTCGCAGGCACGTGCACCGATACGAACGCGAACAGTGCTAAATTTTATGAATCAGATTTTAATTTCTCTGGGGTTGGGGGATGAGCCGACCCAAGTCTCGATCGACTATTATTTACAAATTCGTTTACATTATTTGTTGGAGTAGCGATTGATGGTAGTTGTTACCTAGCTGCAGTCTGTTTAACTTTTCTTTTTTTTTTAATGTATAAAAACCGTAAATTTATCGAGCGCAATTATTTGCACAGTAGCGAGATCATTGCACTATATTCATTTACCACACGAGAATAATTCATTCATAGGCTGGCGGGATGTACCGTGTAGTAACAACATCAGCTAATATCGTGATGTCTTTATGAAGCGGACGCCACGATCGAATCACAATTTATATATTTGTCGACTTTTTCTTTTGTTGTTTCCATGTAGATATCCTTTCTTTTAACTCGGGCACTAAAAATATTGGAAATGAAATTTTTCTAGGCAAGGATTAATATGATTAACAAGAGCATGAAAAAATGTAGCTGGTTTATAATAAAGTAAAGAATGTCTCAAGTTGTTTACGTACAACACGCATCGTCCGTTAATAAGGAGTAACTAAAAGTAAATGAAATAAAATGGGATAAAATAGAATAGAATAGAATAGAATAGAATAGAATAGAATAGAATAGAATGAAATGATATGATATGATATGATATGATATGAAACGAAACGAAACGAAACGAAACGAAACGAAACGAAACGAAACGAAACGAAACGAAATACTTTGTAACAAAATCTTCTGTACTTACTCGGCATTAGCATATCTTCGCTGAGAGGTTGTCTACTGAATGGATCTGTAGCACTGTTGAGAAGGTGTCTGATAATGACCGCTTTATCCATCACGATACCAGACGGCAGTTTAACAGGTTCTTCCATAAGAGTATCCATGAGTGGATCTCGAAATTCCTCGGGCGCATCGCCATAATCCTCGTCCCTGGCACGATTATCTCTAGCGATCACTGCAGCGCGTTCCGCGAGCGCTATAAATCTCTCGATTTCTGTGGTGGTTTTAATAACGGATCTCTGCAATCTGTTCGCCGCGTCCGTGAACAATTCTTTGCAAAACGAGCGCTGTAAGTGCAAGCGGTTATTGAAATAAAACTGTCGCGTTGTTTATTACAGAAGTCTACGATCAGGACACGAACAGTATTCGGTTGTGATGGTTGGCGCAAACCTCGACGGTACTTAAACGATAGCAACCGATATAATTTCGTGGCTCGTTTATAATGAACGTGTCCCTCGCGTCGCGCTATTGTAGACTCCTGTTATCGATATACACTCGAACACGGTACAATAAACTTACTTCGTCGCTAGCCAAGGCAGCTGCAAAATTGTCGCAGTCGAGGTGCAAATATATATCGACCAACTGGCTAAGCAGAGCTCTCGGTTCCCATCCGTACTTCTGTGGTTTTCGTACCTTCAAGTTCTTGCACTTCGGGCCGCACAGTTGCTGCAGGTTGAAGTTCAACATGGCACATAATCTTCCGACCAACTCCGGCCGTAGAAACGGCTCCGTAATGTTCACCGTCAAATAATGAAACATAGCCACCGTCTCTTTGGCCAGAGTCAAATAGGATCTTGCTTGTCTCTCGTCTGCCGTCAATTGTCTCATCCGCGAATGTTGCTGTTCGGGCGACAGAGCTGCCCATGCTTTCAGATCGGACATCAGTTCTTGGATCTCGTGTATACGCTTCAACGACTCCAGGCTTTCGTCCAACAGAAACGTGGTGTCGTTCATCAACATGTTAATGAATTTGACGAATTGCTTGCCGTTATTGCTCTCGTTAATGATCGACTCCCTGTGCACCGGACTGTCCCACATGGACTTTAATATTAAGCTAATATGATAACGAATCGAGAATTTGTCGTAAAACTCGGAACTAGAACCAGTCGTCTCCACGTCGGTATAAAACTTCATGAGGTACGATGCCAATAGCGTTTTCGATATGGGATGCGCCATAACTTGATCGTGCAACGATTCGGTTCGCCCCTAAAATAACAAATGATTTCTCATCGATTACCATTATAAGGTATAAGATAATACATTACTATAGACGGATCAAAGTTACCTGAATACTGGGATTTATCACAAACAGTACTTCGATAATTTTTGCTATTAAATACGGATTCCGTATACAGTGTGGAGTACATACTACGACAAGTAACCATGTAATGAGCGAATTGTCCATGTTATTCGTTATCACGCCAGGACTAAATCTAGAACGGATAGATCAGATGACAAGGTAATCGCGCACGGAACGTACGCAGTTTCGATCGGGTATTGTCAACGTGATACTTACTGAAGGGTAAACAATAAAAATTCCGCGATATCTTCGACGTACCATTCCGGCAGGGCAGTGAACTTTTGTGGAACCTCTTGTGGTAAAGGAAGGTCGGGAAGGGGGTTTCCGGGTGTAGTTTCAGTCAATATACTTAACAGAACTTCCGCTACGGAAATATAAAAATGCAAGCACCTCCTCAATAAGACAGGGTCGATCAGTCCAGCGTCGGTGCACGATTTCGATTTACCAAGCTGTTTTAATTGTTCTTTGTAACGTTTTATTAATTCTTTATTACGCGCCGCAAAAAATGTGTCTTTCCATTGTGGCTCAGTTGCCTGTAGGTCGTCTAGCATTTTCTGCACATCACGCAAAGTCCTTAATTTTCTCTGATACTTCTGCAACGCTGGTAGCAACGCTATGTGATGACAGTGTAGAGTGATAAACCAACATTGCGTCGGAAACTTAGGCTCGGCCCACCTGTGCGTCCTCTCCAAGTGTTTCACCCATTCGGCCGCTTCTTGGGATGAAAGCTTCAGCCTTGTGTCATTCTTTATTTCGACGAAACTCGACGGGTGAAACGGATACAGAGTATCCACGGTGTCTAATTTGATTTTCACGGAGAGCATTTGCAACACCGACAGTAAATTCAGCATGAATCCATCGCCGGCAAGGGAGAACTCCTCCGTTTGTATCTGAGCACGCTTCTCGTTGTAAAGCAACAACGTCGCTAAATACGCCAACGTGATGTCGCGGCAGTTACTGTTCGCGAGAATCGCGTGCAGCATTTTATGCAGCGACGTTCTGGTGCTCTCCAATTCTTGCTGCAACGTCAAGTTCATGGACTTGTCGGCGAACGGGTTGCCACTGAAGAACTTTTCAGCTACGTTCGGCTGGTCTTCGGCGAAAACGGACACCGACAAGAATGGTCCGAGGAAAGACGTTATGGTGATTTCTCTGCCAGGTGCCGAGGTCATGATGTCTGGCAAGAATTGGACCTGACGAGTGATTAGACGGCAAATTGGACGCACATTGCTAGTCGGGCCGCAACGGATTTCTATTAATTCTTCCAAAGCCTCTATCGGCCTTCGATGCGCGTTTCCCACCAAACTAGCTTGCATAGACAGATACAAGCCTTGCAACAACGGTGTAAAAATTTTATTAAACACTATTCGATTCGTGTGTGTCCTTGCCACAAGTTCGTGTAAATAGCCTCGAGGTAGACTCTGCGACAGCACTGGACATAAAAGAAGCGTCACAGATAAAGGATGTGTTGTTGAAGATTGAGAAATGCCCACTAGGCCTTGTAGCACCAAAGTGGAGTATTGAACACACTGTGCTCTCAGAACAGCTAGTACGTCGGAGAGTGGCGGGATACTGGATTTCTGTTCAAAACACGAAAGCAGCGTTACACCTCGGCGAATCAGTGTAGGCGCTTATATAACAAAAACTATTGTACCTTTGGGTGATTTCGTTCCTCGACAGCGACTCTTGAATAACAATCTAATAAATAAGTGAGACTCTTAGGCTGAAACGGATTACAACAAATATCACAACGACAAAGTGTCGCGACTGGGCTTAATAAAGGACTCGTTTGACTGTTGGGGCTATCTTCCCTATCCGAAGAGATCTTCGCATTAATTTCCTTCAGAGGATCTTCTCCTCGCGTGAACATACACAAAATCTCCATCAGTGCCTGATTGATAATCTCTGTGGCGTCGACGAGTTTCTGCATGGATATTTGCGATGCCGTTTGCGGAAGGAATATGGTGCCCTCTGCCGGTTCTTTCCACGATATGCACAACACCCGAGAAACAACAGAATGTATTTGTTCTATAGTCACCTCTGTGCTGGAACTGGTAGTCTAAACGAGAGAGATCAAAATCACGTATCCATCGTTACAGTTCCAGTTGTAAAATTATAGAAAATGCTTACACGAGATCTCGATTTTGTGTCTCTTCTGTCCGATTCCTCCACTTCCATATTCTCAATCCCGGAATCCACGTCTACTCCCGAAACAGACTGTTTATCGTTATTTTCTTCCACTTCCATCGCTACCTCTGCATTCTGAAACTGTTGCTGATTCGATGGAGATATCATCTGTCCTGTAAATGCCTTCGATGGACCCGGCGTGCTCGGCGAAATAGGGTCGGCATTGTGATTAGAGGTGGTTGCCGAACATATGTTGTCCAAACCAACTAAACGGGCCATTCGCCTTCTCCTCATCTACAATCGAAGAACAGATGATACAACGAACGCGACTGCGTGACAGAGGGACATTCGTGGATAAAGAGAAAAGAAGGAAAGCAGAGGAAAAGGGAGATGAAAGAAGAAGGGACAGAAGAAGGAAAAGAAAAGAAAGAAAACCACACACCGTCGTTAATCGTGGACAAATTTTGTAATATTCAAAGTAACGGATATTATATAACAAATATATAGAGCGAGCAAAGCACTCTGTTCGAACAAAACAATATCCAGCGAAATTTCTAACAAAGACAAAGGCTGCAAAGAGCGACACGAAGGGTGGCTAACGGTACAGAAATCTTCCTTGGAAAATCAAAGGACATCGTTTCCAAACTCACATCCATACGATAACTGCAAGATGGTTCGGCACATTTGAAAATGATAAAACAGAAAATTCTGTTGCAGCCGAGCGGCTGTTCGCTCCGGTTAATAACAAAGAAAGAAAACAGTTTCCGCGCGATACTAACGTTGCGAGCGAAAAATCCGCGATAATTCGTTATCGTTACATAATTACTTTAAGAACGACGCCTCGATAAAACAACTGTTAATTTACGGTTAAATTCGTTGTCGTCGTCAAACGAAACGTACTTTTTTTTCTCTCTTTTATTTCTCATCGTGTCATCGTTCCCCCTCGACCGAGCGCTGGAGGACACATATCGCAGCGGGCTTTAACAACGACAGAGTGAAAGGGAGAACCGAAATCGAGGAACCCAGCGAACAATGACAACAAAACTCATTATCGAACAATGATTGAGAACGGTGTTGGTTGGTACTCACTTCCTCCTGGCTGAGCTCGCTCATGGCGATTTTCTTGTTTTCCTTTTCGATCCTTCTAACCTCCGACACCGCGCGTAAATCGTGCCCTTTTATCGCGCCGTGGCAGTCCAATGGGAAAAAAAAGGAAAAAAACGGTACTCGCCGTTTTCCGGAGAATACTGGACGAGATATGTCAAAAATTTGGACAGTCACTCCACATCTGTTTGCGTTTGGACGTGAAAGTAGCGATTCCACGCTGTTCTACGGACAATCGCTGCCAGGCTGCGTCGATTCTTCAAAACAGCTGAGCAACTGAAGCCGCAACGCACCCTCGCATCGATAACGGTAACTACGTCGCTATAAACTCACGCTAACGTGCGGTTGGATTCGATCGGAAGCTGCTTCGGAGCTATCCTGTAATTCGTTGAAACGATTCGACACGTTGGTATTCCGATGATCGGAGACAATAGGAAGATTGTCCAGCGAAACATCGATTCGCTTGTCGTCTAACCCGTGGAGAGGAGAAGCGCGTACCTGGCATCCGGTTCACGGCGTGTTGCAATTGTTAACCTCATTTGCGGCGCTCGCCGAGTCTCGCTTATTCGTGCAAACAACTAATTTTGTACGAAGCCTAGAAAAGGTGTCGTCTCGCCGTCGAACACCCGAACGTTTATTATTCTCCGATCTGGCAAGTGACCGCGAGCTGCATTACCGAACGATAGAGTTCAAGATCGTCCGAGTTTTGCAATGAAAAGTGGGACACGCTTTTCTAAATCGTTTACTCTTGTAAATCACTTGGTTGCGCAACGCTGTCGTGTCTCGATGCACGGACTCGATTGAACGAATCGCGGGCGTTTATCCTTCGACGCAACTATCGTCCGCGTGGTCGCTTCGTATTCTTGGACAGTGCTGATCGTTGAGCGCTCGCAAGGGAAGGATCCCAAAGGAAATTCCGATAAACATAAAAGAGAAGAAAAAGAATCCTAGGACTTTTGCGTAGAAATCACGCAGCTAGCTTACTCCGCCATTGGAATTTCGAGGAATCGTGTTAACCGTCATGGTATGTCAAAGAGGTATAAAAGTTCAAATGTTTGTATCTTTTGAATTATCGAATATCTACACCTAATTTTCCATACATAGTTAGAGATCCACATACCACGTCGTCTCAGAAATATTTATCGAAATCAATCAAGCCTTGGGATTCTTCCCTTGTTAGTAGTGTAACGAATATCTTTGTCTTAGGTATCCGGAACACGATGCAAAATGTCGAGTAAGCTGTTCTAAGGTCCGGATTTGCTGAATCATTATCGAAGACGTGCAAACACTCGAAGCGATTCTTCGCCGATCATTCAGCGTTACTCCGTTATTCGATTTCTTTCCGACAACCAATCGAGATTGTCATGCAAGCTTTTTAATGTCGAGAAATAAAGTATCATAATCTGATTTGACGAGAAAAATGCTGTACAATTCACCCTGTTCATCACATATCAACGTCCTGGGAAAAATCTAATGTTTATCGCGTACACGACGCAAGAGGTTAGATTAGATTAGATTAGAGGTTAGATTAGAAACACAATATTTTCCGTGATTCATCGGTGTAGCACTTTGATCTTGTCGTTTATATAATCGTGTTATCAAACTGATACATCAGTTTGTCAAGTTATCCGAGGAATACGGTTCTATCACGATTTAAAACAAAGGATGGGCACTGAAGAAATTATCGATTTCACAGCCCTAGGTAAAATTTGTCCTACAACCTTTGTGTGTACCCTAATCGACCGACTGTCGTTAACAGTTGTCTGCCTTTCGTAACAAGAACTTTCATTTGTTTCGAACGTTCTCACGAAATAACTGTTGCATGATATTTTCTGTCAAAGTGAAACTACTCCCCCTCCTTTCCAGCTCTCACTTTTCTTTCTACTTCTCTTCACTATATATATATATATATTATATATATGATTATATATATATATATATATATATATATATAGTAATTGTTACAGTGCAAGTGCCTGGGATCGAATCACAAATGTAAATGGTACAATTGTTAATAAATGTTTCATATGTTTTAGGAGCGGATATTCAGCTTCTAATAAAAGAGAGCATTGTAGTCCGTGAACATTCTTACTCACCTTACAGTAAATTTAAAGTTGGAGCTGCAGTTCTGTGCGACGACGGAACTATTTTCACAGGATGCAACGTCGAGAACGCGAGCTATCCTGTCGGGACATGTGCTGAAAGAGCAGCTATCGTAAAAGCAGTATCTGAGGGAAAGAGGAAGTTCAAGGCATTAACGGTGGTAGCTGACATGGGAAACAATAGTAGTTTCGTCACGCCGTGTGGTTTTTGCAGACAAGCTATGATAGAATTTGGTGATATACCAATTTATTTGTCAAGTCCTGACATGAAAAATGTACTAAAAACTACAACGCGCATTCTATTGCCCCGTGCCTTTGGTTTAAATAATGTAAATATATTACAATGAATTTGAGCTAAACTCAGGAACCAAACTTTATATATCATTTGCTAAAACAGTATTTATATCGTTTGAGCCAACATTCCATCGACTTGTATTAGGAGGTTGTTGTCCTCGATATTACAACTATCTAATTTATAATATTGCGTCTAAATGAATATTTATTATATTTTATTATACTCTATTCGAACAACCGAATGTTGGTTTCTGTACAAATTTCAAGGAGTACAAAGTTTTAAGAAACGGTGTATTGTTACTGTATCGAATGATCTTATTTTCTTAAATAGTTTCTTTGATGCTTACATTGAAAAAATGATAATCTATAAATGTAATCGATTATCATGCAATTTCTAAGGTACATCATTTTCTAATATACATTATACTTGGTAAGCAGAAGTAACATGAATAGTATATACAATTGATGTAGCAATACAGTTGATATATACATGTGCAATAGTATTTGCATATTGTGATTTTGGTTATGATTATTTCTTAATAATAGAAATGCAAAGACAGGAACGATACTGCGTATAATACACATCTAATATCTTGATGGATATTTATGCTACATGTGAACCCTAGAGTAGTTACCCTCTTACGTAGAACTCGTTAGTGGACACGTATAGCACTATGTTTACCAAAATGGGCACCTGTAATCAAACATAACCATAGCAGAGAATTATATAAATAAATTTAATTTCCGATTGTCGAAAATTAATAAGAATTCATTACCATCCAATATAACACTGGCATAAATTCTCATTATTGGTGGCTTGTTGAATTAAAAGATCGACTTGACGCTGTACGCTCAACGTTTCTTCGTGAGAAAAGTCTCGGCCTGTTAATTTGTCTCTGACTCTAGTTATGATCGCAAGGGCTTTCTTGTTCAGTGCTTCTGGTTGATTGGTGTCACCTGTTTGGAAATGTTCATTTTTATTTCTATTTCGTTTAAACGTTTGCTTCGTTATATCTTTGTAATGGCATCTTTCGTTCCACGACTAAAGGAAACTTTGAAACTTACCACCATTCTCAATGCTGCATGGCACTCCTTTCTTTGGCAACGTGGCAGTAAGAGAATCCAATGTATCGCCGTGTTCTTGATTACTGCTGGCACTCATCCCTTGAGCGTCGGATCGTTTGCTCTTTGGTGTAGCATTGTCCATTAATCTCCAATTCAAAAGAGGATCGTAGACGAAAGCCTCCAACACCGCCATTAAACTGTCTTTGTTTCGATGTAACACCGACATTACCGATTCGCAAGTCCTTCTGTACGTCCCTTCGATTCCGGTTACTTCCATCGCGTTGATCAGCATTCGAGTCAACCTGAACGGTATCTTCTCTGGGAATTTCTCGCGTGTCATGGCAACTTCGAAGCAATCCCCAAAGTCGATGTGTAGTATTTTTCCACTGAGACGATCCAGCATCAGATTCGACGGGTGCCGATCCCCCAGACCGAGAATATATCCCACCATGGACATTACAGCGAGGGAACGCGTGTAATTTGTCCGTCGGTCGAACCATACTTCGCTCGACGGCGATTTCAACCAAAGAAGACGCGATAAATCATCGCCATGAGTATGCTCCAGTGCATGCTCGAATACTTCAACTTTCTGCATAAGCATAAGATGATCGTAACCTGGAGCCATCTGAAAATTAGATGATACGATCGAGTTGCGTGTAAGAAATTCCACATCGATCAAATACACTTACCCTTAACATTATTTTGTGTTCTATGTTGAGTAATATCTTTTTCTTTTCCCTGTAGTCCCTGATCAGCGTGTGCAACGTATCGCAATGCGGTACCCAACCGATAAGACCACTGTTCGTCGATAATGGAATTACAGCGTATCTCTGAAAATAGAATCTGTTTGTTGGAATATGTCGCGAACGAAACGACTATTTTCAATGATAAATTCTTTGTTTCATTCACTTGAATGGTAAGATTTCTTCTGAATGTGTCCGGATCGTGCAGCAGAAGGGTATTGACTAGACCAAACAATTGCATAACGCGTTCATCCTGCCTAAGATCCTCGTGCCCTTTCAAGAGGAACATGTAATCCTTACCATTGCTACCTACGGGAGCATCCGAAAATTCAGAATCACAGTTTCAACCCGAAACTAGGTACAGAACGAACATTTACCTTTTATACATAATTTCCGTGGTCGTTGTTTGCTCGTTATCACTTGCATAGAGCTATGTATACTCGCTATTCTGACTACTGGTTGTCCAGGACTGTAACTTCCCGGTACGGCTAATTCTAAATCCCTGCAAAGGAGTAACTTTGGACTGACGTATTGAAGCTCCAGACTAGTCAACTGCGGCAATTGTCTCGATATTCTTCTGAAAACGTGGTAATAGAGATCCCAGGCTTGATTCAAATCTCGGACATTGCGCGATGCTTTGTATTTGTGACACCATTCCTGCGCTTCCATTAGATCTCTGCCGTAAGCTTGATTGAAAGACGTCTCCTTCAATGTCTGTGGCCCCCTTTCCAGCATCGCGTGCAAAGGCTCCAACGTATCGAACATTCCTCTGACGTTTCTCTCCCCGAAGTACAGCCTGCTGGCTTCCTCTAAGCCCTCGTGCCATAATTCGTGCCAAAGGATCGCCACTCTTATCAGCTCGTCGCTGGCCATCATTGCTTGTTGCACCAGGGTCGGGCTATGCTCGCACATACTTTTCAAGATCTTGTTCGCGGCAGTTTTCCGAGCGTGACTAGCACTTTTCGATGCTACCGTCAGCGGATAAACTAACGCTTGAGGATGCGCTTTCCCGATATCTATTAAAAGGTGATGTATACAACGTCCAACCAGGGCTCTGGGCGTATCTATTCTCGCTATGAGTTGAGGGATCACTTGTAACCAAGTATTAATTTCGATCAATCTGATCCCTTCCACGATAGCTTCGTACACCTCTGGCCACTGGCCGTAGTCGAACCACAGTGTCAGCAACCTAAGAGTGTCTTGCAACGAATTGCCGTGAGAGAGATTAATCGATCTGAAAAATCCTTCTACAGCCGGCACAGTGAACTTGGATATGTACTGTGAACTGGAGAGATTGCCGCGCGTCCCATTGCCCGGTGTACTCTCCGTGTTCGAATCACCTTGCTGATGCTTGTAGAACAGTACAGTCTCAAAATTGGTATAGGCGAACGCGTGCCATGCTTTGTACCAGGTTGGATCGTGTTCGGTAGCCGCGGCATAGTAAGATAGTACAGCCGGTATAGAATGTTCATTGATGCCCTCCAAAGCTTCCAACCATTCGCCAAGTTTCAGATAACATCTGGCAAGTAACCTCTTTCTCATCTCTTGTTGCTTCTCGTCTTCCTGATTTACCACGGTTAAGGTTGTCTGCTGTCGAGACGTCTGCACGAACTTCTGAAGTTGACCGTACGCTTCCTCCCGCTTATTGGCAACCCACATATGCTTGCAGTAAGCGAAAGTCACCTGAGGATACGTTGTCGGCAATGGCTGGTCAGGAGTCAACGACGGATCTGTTCCGAGCAACATGACCAAAGTCTTATGACACAGCATCAGGCTGCCGCTCTTTCTACAGAGGCTTGCGTATTTCAACCAAGTGTACATATCGTCCTGAGGTGAAACCACCAATGTGTGAACCTGTATTATTTTCTGCCAGTCTTCGACTATTCTTTGCCCACCTTGGAGTCTCTCCCACCACATAGACTTGATGGTTAATCTTCTCTCTGGGACCAGCTTAAATTGTATCACCTCCTCCAATTCCGCAAGTTTCTGAACCTCTACCATAGCATTGTAAGCTCTCTGGTAACTTTCGCCTGCCATGGCGGTCAATTCCGTGTCCAGCAAGTCTCTGGCACTGTCGATAAGCTGATGAGCGACATTGTACTGTTCATCGTGAATCGCTAAAACAGCTCTATAGAAGGCACCGTCCTGAGTATCTTTCGGTATCAACGAAACGTACTTCTCCATACTTTCCCATTGACTTAATCCCCATGCCGCAGCCGCTGCCATTCTAGCCATTCTCTGTTTCATTTCGTCGTTTTGATTCGACCAGTACTTGGTGGCGACGTCGTGCAACTGTCCCCACTCCCCGAGAGCTTCCAAACAACGCATCTCGCCCAAAGTGGATTCAACGTCCGCCGGATCTCCTTCCAATCTCTCTCTGTACAGCTGCAACGCTTTGTCCCAATTATGCAGCTTCTCGTACCAACGTACTTGCACCTTCAGGTCTTGCTGATTATTCTGATTCATCACGTACTCGAGAAGCCCTTCCGCGGCTTCTTTCTGCTGAAGTTTGTTATTAATGGAAATCAAAGACTCGAACACGTTGCTGTTTCTACTTTTATGGAACTCGTCTTCCTTGTAGTGCAAAGCTTTCGCGTAAGCCCTACAATGCATTGCTCGTTCCCCTAGGATCTTATTGTCCAACGGTAAGGGCCCCTTGTCGCAGTGTTCCATAAACTCTGCTAGGTTCAGAATCGTTTGCGTAATCTCCGGTAGATCCGGAACCATCAACGCTTGCTGTAAAGTCTGTATAAGCTCGGACCTGTACGTTTCGTCCAATTCCGTCCAGCAAGAAACGAATGCCGCGTTAAATAGATCCCTGGGTAATTGAGAATAGGTCTGCGCGAGCGCCCAGCAAGATCTTAACGCCGGAGACGGTGATTCCTTGAGCAAGCCGATCGATAAGCTCCTCAACCATTCGAGCCAGTCGTCCTTTGAAACTCTTCTCGTCGCCGTCCAAGCTTTCTGGAGGTTCGAAGCTGACACGTGTAATCTTTTTATGGTGGTCGTGTCCGACGACGTTAGGGACAAATCACGGTTTTTATTTCTCGAATGACGATGTCTCATCAACAGAAAATCTTCGCCATCGGTCACGGTGGTTTCCGTTAAAATCTTGTCGATCAGAACATCGTAACGCGAATTAATAATCTTGTGTTTCGTCATAATTTTCTGCACCAAGGGTATGAAGATCTGATACTTCTTCCCCAACTGAATCACCAGCGCGCATAACGTATCCATCGCTGTGACTCGTTGTTCCGGGCATTGATCGAGAGTTCGTACCAAAGGGTGTACAATTCTGGACGCAAAGTCCGTAAAGTCCAGTGTGTCTGCCAAGTGGTCGATCGTTTCTAGGGCTACCTTGTTCACGGTCGTTGGACACTCGGTTGTATGAAACAACTTGACTATCGGCGGTAACACCAAATGTAGGTAGTTGTCTAAATTATTTCCAAATTTCTGGAGCGCTTGAAGAAGCTTCACCGTAACGGATCTATCCTTGCTGGTGTCGTGCGTCAGTACTCTTAATATTTGCGGCATTAGTTGCGGCAAATAAATCTTGAATTCTGCGCCTAACGCAACCGCGATGTGCTCGACCAAAAGTATCAGCGTACTTTGCAGCGGACTGTTCACGGTCCAGAACTCTTTGATCAGATTGAATATATCGTCCAAATAGTTTCGAATGTGTTGCTTCACGATGGCGATTAGAATGGCTAATTGTTGGAACAGGTACTCGCGAAAGTTAACATCAGCCGTTCTAACAACGTTCAGGAAGCTGGGCATCACCTGAGAGATGTACGGCACGCACTTGATCCCTAAACTCTTAAATATGAACGTCACCGCTTGCACCACCATGGTGTGGTGTTGCGATAACGTTGGATCACGAATAATCCTCATGAGCGTTGCTATGGCGATCGCTGGATAGTACTCTTCCAAAGTAGACGAAGACATGTTCACCAACATCTCGCTGGTAGTCAAGTCTTGTGTGTTTTCGGTTTCGCTCTTGGTATCAGCCATAGAAGTGAGCGTGTCCAGTTGAGAGTCTATTTGGCCAAGGTTCATTTTATGCTTGTACGGGTCTAAAGCACCCAACAATCCGAGCACTCTTATGGTTTCCCTCCTGATGATAGGTTGCTGCTCGGTTTTCAAGAAGTTTATCAGTACGTCCAACAACGAGGGATACTGCATGTACGGTTTCACAACATGCCCCGTACTTCCAACCAACTGGCCCAGAACCCATAACGCGACTCCCCTTTTTTCTGGAGAACTGGCGTCCACCAGCATTTCGAGCAGTATAGATAACAGTTCCGGCATCCATTGTTGCATTTCAGCACCGTTAACTTCCGCCAAGTCACCGATAGCACGTAGTATCGCTAAAATCACCCCAGGGTTCGATTCAGGCTCCTTCAGCTTCGGAACGAGAACTTTCAAAATGGGCTCCATGTATGGCCGTATAAGTCTTGGCGCGCTAACGACCAAGTGATCTAGCATACGAGCGGCCTGCTCCTTGTTGCGACCCATACCAGAATGCTCCAACTCCGTTAAGAATTGTATAAGTGTTTTACGTAAAGAGGGCATTACGTAAGCTGGATTCATGGTACTCAGTCTTCCAATCGTGCGAATCGCCAGTTCTCTGATCTCGAACATCTCGTCGTTCATCGCGATGAATAATGCAGACAGATTTTCTGCTTGTGCCAGATGAATGTCGAAAGAATCGTCCAGAGAGGCAAGAACCCACATTCGCACGTCGGAATCGGTGTCTGTGATACCTACAACCAACAATTTCCCAAGAACGGTAGAGACAGTATTCGTTACTGTAGGTCCCGGTTGGTTTAACGCCAGTCTTAATAACCTTGAACACGTTCTCACAGCTTCCAATCGCACTTCTGCTTGTTCGAAGGTAAGGAAATGTTCCGCGCATCGTCGCACAAACTGTAGAAGCGGGTTTCCATCGAAATTAAATGTCCCAAGAGTCTTCAATGCTAATACCGTGGACGGAATATCCACTTCCGTCGGTGCTGCGGAAATGGGACTGGTCGTGGTCCATGGCGCGCCAGGATGCCTCAACGGTTTCTGCATTAGGACCTGAGATAACATTCTTAACAGCCCTTGAGATATGTCAGGTTTTAACGATGGAACGCTGTGAGCTAATTCTCGGAGAGAAATCGTAAGAATCGAGCTTAATCCGGTTGTTAACATGGATTCCAGTAAATCTCTCACATCCGCGGCTATCACTTGTTTCACGGCATGTCCAAGCAGTGTTATACACACAAATACTGCAGGCTCCAAAGATGTACCGCGTTTCTTGGCAGACGTTTCTTTAGACGGCAATAAATTCTTAATCACTTCCATAATTTTAGAGAGATACGGATTTATCGAATCTTCCACCGCGACTGCTATAAATCCAATTGTCGTAAACGCGGCGTACCTATCCTTTTCTCTGCTGCGCAATGTCATCAACAGGTACGATAATGATTCCTTTAAATGATCTTTTGTAAATTTCTCTTTATTGAATGCAGCGAGTCTTGGCAACAACATCATCAGAGCATGTTGAATGTGTGGATTTCTAGACATTCTTTGACTCATTACATCATTATAAATATCGTCCAATCTCTCTTGCATCAAACAACGGCAAACTGCGGATTCATGAGCCGGGTACAACGTTTGTTGGGAATTGGCTGAATTTTGAGAAGAACTGGACCATTTGGATACTATAGTTGTTTTCAACCGTGGCATCAATGACAGTATATCGTTTTCGTTTTGTTGCGTGGAACAGTTTAATCGTTCCATTAAACCTTCGTAATTTCTTTCCCATTGAACATTACTGCACCTAAGTAACTCGTTTAATATCAACAACGAACCGTGTACTCTGTCATCCTTGTTTACTCCTCTTTCTCTGGTATACATTTCCTCGAATCCTGCTACTATTTCATCGTAGCATTGTTTGTACCACTGCGATTTGTGCATCTGTTTCGCCGTTTCCCTCTGCGCGGTAACAACCAAAGCGGCACGCAATGCTTCTACAGCACCTTCCCTTATCACAGGTTTTGGATCACGTATAGCGTTAAATATAAGTTCGAAAAATGGAGTCACTTGTTGAAAAAAATATGTCGGCATAGATACAGCTAGTTCTCTTAAAACAAGAACAGCAGCATGTCTTTTACCTTCGTGTCTATCTCCACCCAGCCATTCGAAGGCACGTTTCACTTCAAATTCTACATACTCTGCCGTATAGGTACCTGAAACTAACGCTAACTTCCCGACAGTTTTAGCAGCCAGTTCCATAACACCCACATCGTTCGAAGGTAACAGATTTCTTAAATAATTTGCAAACCTTATAGTTCTCGTGTTAATGTTTCCTACGTCTGCACCGATAAGGCAAACTATGGCCAATATACCTCCTTTCTTCTCGTTCACATCCGATCCAGATACCATTTCGAATATATGGTGGTTAAATTCATCCATAAACGCTGTAATTTCTTCCTGCGATGCTTCTCGCAATTCCGTTTTAACGTAGAGACACAAGTCTCTCGCTGCTTTGTTACGTGCTTCTTCATTTCTGGATTTAAGTCTTTGAACAAATTGTTGTACAAGCATACACGACATTGTTGAAATTTTCTTGCGATACGAATTCTACGGATTTATCGATATTGCGATCTTATTGCGATGATATCTGTGAAAAGCAACGTTTTCGAGAATAGAGTGAGGTTAAAGGAGAACTTTACCAACGCTAAATGTTACATACTTATTTGACAGCACACGAATTTTCCACCATAGTCAAATCTTTTTCCAATTATCATTCCTGCTTCAGCTATTTTGCAGAGGAAAATTTCAATACGTCTTCAACTACATTATTATGCAGCCACGTCTGTCACACGGATCCTTCATGTTTTGATACCTTCAAAATGAGTAAAGGTCAAGTTCTATTCAATTTCATGTGTCATATACACACATCGATATCTGAATTAACTTGGTAACATTAACTCCGAAGACTCTTAATAAGTGCAGAAAAACTACGGTTTGTTCTCTGAAGGAACTATTTTGAGTTTATAACCTCGATACTGCGTGGTTCGTGCGCTTTGAGAAGCTTCTCCCATTCTTCCCGAGTGGATGCTTGTTGACACTATCCGCTACGCTCACGGTCGAAATAGTTGATCGCCCAGTTTGACAACCGAAAATTTCCTGATAGACCGAATATAGCATATCCAATTGTTCGATAAAGTTTAAAATTTTCTGAGAACTTACAAAAAATAAACGAATATTTATTTCATTTCAAATTCTACAAATCGATTCGTAACAATGTGCGAGTACATATCTGCATAAAAGTTACAACCTATTCTCATTGAAACGAAAAGCTTTTTTCTTTAATATTACAATATTCAACGGTTTGTAATCGACACCACTGTGTCAATCAACAATTATGCGTTTCGATGTTTTTTTTAGTTAATATTTCATTTTAACGGAGAAAAGTTGTAAGATAATATGAAATGGAAAATATTCGTAGCGCTATCTATGCCAAAATACCCAAACTACTATCAAAGCTAATAATTTACACCTACCGCCTCGAACGACACTATGAACTGTTTCAATTCGATACGTACGGAAAACTAAGAAACATTGAAAATGCAGAAACGACGATCATTAATGTACGACATTAGGTCAGAGAAATCTTAAGGTAGAAAACGTTCAATCGAAAGTTTTGCATTCTCCTTTTTACGTTCTATTACATTTAATATGGTTTACTGTATTTATCACTTGGCCAATTTTAACCATTTTGTTCGATACAGTTTCCCTATTCGCCGTATAAGTTCTCTAGACGCAGAGAGCAAAGGAAAACCTCTGATCTTTTACACAGTCGGTAATTCAGAACACGCGGCGACATCGAGTTCCATGAGGTTGCAATGTCTATCTTACACCTCGTCTGTGGTTTCTTGTAGAGCAAGGGTGTCTCCGAGTGTGCCCGTGGACACTCTGGTGACACTCCCCTCGCGACAAGTTACCCTGTCCGTATCTACTTTCGCCTATTTCTATCGAACACTACATAGAACAGCTTCTTGCGCAGAGACAGGGGAGGAACGTTGTTTTCGAGTTATTAGCGTGAGGGGAGTAAGTTACTACTTATGTAGACACCTCTGGTCTAGAGGATCAGATGGATGGTTTTTTGATCGCATTTTTACCGCTTGTCAATATAACATCGAAAATTAGTTACTCGATTCTAGGGAATTTTACGGACAATCCGACACTATTACAAGAAATCTTTATTTAGAATTTTCTTGACTTTGTTGTATTTTTAAAAATATCTTTCACTTACCATTGAATGTGTATCACGAAAGATAGACAGCCGGACAAACGGAGGGTGAGACAGTTTGTAACCAATTTATTAGTAATACGGTAATACACTTTACAATTTTCCTCGAGCTGCGGTCTTTATTTGTAAAAGAGAAAGCATAAGAAAAGCACAAGAGAATAAAATCAGTTAATAGTATCCAAGTACTTTACCGTGAGTACCTACTTACGTAGATACGCGACTTGTATTTCTCAGTTTTTTTTTTCCTTCATTTTGTCTATCCTGGCGTGTTTATATACGCTGCTGTAAGACACTGTGCTGCCAAAGTGTCGATCGATTTTCGAGAGTTACGATCTTACGACGTATATTGTGTGTATCGCGTTTAATGCTTGCTTATTTCTAGTTGTTGCATGAAATTTACAATTGGTAAATACTGGACTGATCATTCGACTGATAAATTAATGTAACTTGTATTAACGTGCGCCTGAAATTTTTAGGAACCCGTAGTCGAAATATTTATTATAGCAAACTTTTTTTGCCAAGCAACTCTTGTATCGCTGTGAATTTTCCAATGTGTAAAGTTCGTTAAGATTTGGTTTCGTAGGAATGCAATGAACGATCAGAGGTACGTTTATAAAAGTATTACAATGTTATCTAGAGTGCTAGCGAACGTCACCGTAAACACATTTGTGTTGTTCCAACCATTACTTTTCGTAACGATACTAAGAATTACCGATAATACCATTATCAGGCACGAGTAATTTTGTTTGCATCGTACATTTCGTTAACATTTGAAATTGTTAAGCATAACAAGCGTGTGCGTCGTACAAATATTTTATTTAATGTAACGTTGAACAATAACGTTGAGCGAGAAATTTATAAGAACAAAATATTTGCTTAATATTATGTTTCAGTGGTTGTTGAGTATCTACTATAAACGAGTATCATTCGAATGCCAAGCATGTTCGGGCAATCTGGAAATACATCGTTCAGTAAGTGAAGCATGAAGCAGATATTAAATATGCGCTTGTTATATTTCTTTGTTTGTTTCCTTCTCTACGGTTTTCTTTTTAACACTGTCCCTTGTTATAGGTGGTTTCAATACAGCGCAACAAACGAGTCCATTCGGACAATCCGCGTTTGGCAAACCGATCGCGACAACGAGTTTCGGCAGTGGTGCAACACCAGTTTTTGGTAGCAGTAACACTTCTTTGTTCAGTTCAAAGCCTTCGGGTTCTACCGCGGGTGGTCTGTTCAGTAACACTACGACTCCACCTGCATTTACTCAACCATCTTTTGGAGGTAATCGTTTGTGGATTATTATTTTGTTGGATCACAATTTTTTTACAGTTATCTCTACGAAGGCGCGTTCACCAGCCAGAATGCAGCATCGAAAACATCCATTTATTCTACATTAAAAATGTCTTTCAACCTACCTTAATTCACACGTCGATTACCGATTCTTGAAACAAATTGCAAAACTATTACAATGATCTTATCTGGTCCTTTTCCGTGGACCGACGATTATAAAGAATAAATGGATCTTGATTTCCTGTAAAACAGTTTATAAACGTGATTGTACATTCGCTTATAAATTATGCGAACACGACAATATGCGCTACCAATACATTTTCTGTTCCATTTATTTCTTGCAGGTTTCGGGACAACCAATACAAACACCAATTTATTTGGCAGTCAACAAAATGCTAGTACAAGTTTATTCGGAGCAAATACAGCTACCTCGGCATTTGGACAGTCAAACAAATCGGCCGGATTTAGCTTTGGCGCGACATCGGGAACAAATTTATTTGGACAACCTCAACAGACGACTCCGCAGGCTACACCTTTTGGACAAAGTAACAGCACCGGAAATACCAATTTATTCGGTGCAACGCCCGGTAATTATTTCACCGAACTACGTTTCCGTGTGTTATCGTGTGTTATATATATAAAAATGAATGTGATTTTTCATACAAGGTTTCGGCAGTACAAACAACACCAACACCGGGGTTATCGGCACAGTTGTTAAATTTAATCCTGTTGTTACTACTGACTCTATGTCGAAGAACGGTATATCTCATACCATATCAGCGAAGCACTGTTGCATAGCGGCAATGAAGGAGTACGAATCGAAATCGTATGAGGAATTACGTTTCGAGGACTATTCTGTGGGACGAAAAGGTAACGTGATCCGACGAAATCCATTATAATGAAAATTACTCGAAAACCATTTCATATCGCCCTACTTGTACGTTTGCTTTTATTCGATCGATCAGGACCCAGTACAGGACTATTCGGTACACCCGCGCAGCCTTCACCTTTTGTCAATGCAGGGGCAGGTACTAGTACTGCGACGACGGGTAAACTATTTCAATACGAATTAATACTTGTCATTTCGTCAGATTATACTAGAACGATTATGAATTTTCTACATGTTTAACGTTACACGTTTAAAGCCTTTAAAAATAATTCAATTTCAATTGTATCATTTCGACATTTTTGTCGCGTTCATTCAGGCTTCGGTGGAATGAGCGGGGGTTTCGGAACCACCACACAATCTGGAACGAGTGGTCTTTTCGGAAAGCCTATGACAAGCTTCGGAACACCATCGACAACAACTACGAATAGCTTCGCGTTCAATTCTACTCCGAGCACAAATTTGTTCGGCAGTAACAATCAGGCGAAACCGTTTGGCAGTGAGTATTGAATTTCTCAAATATCCTGACATTAACCGTGCACGTTGTATCGCGATCGAAAATTACACATACGAACGCACGCAAGAGCCGCGTTGTTGATTTCGCACGGGTAGGTAGAAATATCATTTTTTCTACAGCAGCAGCACCAACGCCACTCTTTGCGACCAGCAATACCAACCAAACTGCTGGTACAGGCTTCGGTGGCCTTAATACAGCTCAGAATACTACGTTTGGATCTACGTTCGGAGCGACACAACCGAATCAGGTAATACGAATCTAAATGGAAAACTCGATGCGCATACACTGCATTAGCAAATAAAATCGATAAAGCTGATAAACTTCTCTCTCGTACGTTTTTGTTCTCAGAGTATTGGTTTATTTAATCAGAATAAATCGGCTTTCAATGTGCCGTCCACGTCATCCAGTACCGGGTTCACCAGCTTTGGTCAAACACCATCCGGCAATGCGGGCACAACCTTATTCGGTACTAAATCTGCTGGAACAACAGGTTTCGGAACGGCACCCACTTTTGGTGTGACTACAGCATCGACTTTTGGAATTACAACAGGTTTCACTGCTGGCCAAAACTCTGGTACTTCATTGTTTAATACATGTTTTAAACCTGCAGGACAGACGTCTGGATTCTCTTTTGGTTCTACCTCCGCGCCCTCAGCCGGACTGGGCAAGTTGTTTGTTTAATTTTCCAATAATTCGCAAGATCCGATGTTCAATTGGGGAAGGCAAAGGACTGGTATAATCGATCGATATTTTAATTGTCCGCTTTACAGGTACGAATACGGGTTTGACACTGGGTAGTGGTTCCACTTTGTTTGGACAACAAAAGCCTGGAAGTTTATTCGGTAATACCGGCAACAACACGACATTCAATTCTTCGTCATCGTTCGGATCGTCGACCTTTGGAACTAATTCGAACGTGGGAACTGGCATGGGAATGGGTTTACTCGGTGCCGGGTACGGTCCAACTTTTCTCTTCGACGTTCACTTTTAGTCCTTAGACGCGTGTGCACCGAACTCTCACATTCGTACGATCCCCTTACCGATTACTTGGACTTTGTTTAATCTTTCTGAATATTCTTTTCTCAATTACAGCGCGTCGAACAATCAAGCGAAAAGCTCTGGAACCGTGCCGGTACACCAGCAGATTTTAGCACTAGTATCCGCACCATTCGGGGATTCGCCATTATTGAAAAATCTCTTGCCGGTAAAATTTACTTTCTAAGAAGAGACATTACATGTAACGTTCGTTATCACGGCTGTTCATCGCCCGCCTCCCCACAGTCGCACTAAACCGATGACATTCGAGTGCTCGTAGTGGGATGGACAGTTGCCGTGATTATCGGTCGGTATATGCAGGGTCTCTTCTTAAGAAAGGAAGAAAAGAGAAGGAGAAAAAGAAAAAGGAAAATGACAGAAAACTATGCGATGATTTTTAGGCTTCCGGCAAAACCGAAGAGTTATTGAAACCTGCGAATGCCCCTTCTAAAATAATGAATGGC